AGGTACACTCCAGTTATTTTACGAGAGTCCTGAATAAAAGTTAAAGAATAATCTTCCCCATTTAATTCAGTTGTACTCTGAGGAACATTTAGATTTAGATCAGTATGTATTATTTCTAAAATTTCCTAGGCCTTTTGTCTATTATTTTAAAAAAGTAATTTGTGCATTTTATTTGCCATACAAATAGCGCATTTCATATAATCACTCTCAATTTCTTTTGGCAAACCTTCAGCTAATTCATTCTTACATAAAACTGTTCCTTGAAAGTAATTTTATGATCATTCTTAGAACTCGTAGTACTAACGGTAATCTTATAATCATTTTAAATTTCACTTTGCATTCTGTACTATTTATCTGTTTCATACGTAATAGCTAAAAGCGCACCCTCACTGTTATAAATTTTGTCTGTATTATTTTGAGCGACAACTTCATTTTTACTCAAAAATTTTGATAAACTTAACAAATTTTATTTCATTTCTTTAAAATAGTATTTATAAGACTTTTAAATTCTTACTGATGTATTGTACACGTTAAAGTAACTCGAAACTTTTCCGATTTTAGTCGCTTTTAAACTTCTACCCTCTTCTATGTTTACGTTTACTTGATTTTTTAATTTAATAGTATTGACAAAACATTATCTTGATTTACTATGTGATCAGTATAACAACTATGTAAAAGCCAGTCAATATGTTGACCTTGCATTTCTTTATGCATTGCAGTAGACTCAACGTTCTTTACAAAAAAGGCGCCAAACGATCTGTTGCCTTGCTGCCACGATTTTTGTTGTTACGCGCAGCCTCTACCTCGTTGTTTGCTCGAGCCTCTGCCTCTGCCTCTTGATGCTCCTTGCTGCGTGTGACTTTCAACAAAATTGTTGACGTCCACCCCTTGCTATTTGACCTCCATAGCTAGCATTGTTTATATCCTGGCAAAATTTTTTTAAATATCTAATCTCACTACAGCCGTAACAGACTCTTTTTTGTTTTTCGTGACCTTTTGATTTTGACACGAAAACATTTAATTTTACACTTGCACTAGCACTTTCACATTGATTTATTATTTTTAACATTTTTATTTTATCTGCTTCATAAGAAACTCTTTAATCCTTTAGTTTTAACGGTTCTATGATATTACCAATACAACTCTACGATTCTGGTAATGTTCTTAATAAATAATTAAACTTTCATTTTTCTGACACTGTAGTACCTGCAGCCTTTAACTTATTCACTGTTCTTTCAAATTTACTATTAAAAACTGATGATTCTTGACAATCCTTTATCCTTATCTTCTCCAGCCTATTCTAGCACATTATCTGCAAAGCTGTTGATTTCTCTAAATACGTAGCACTGAACTTTTTTACAATATTGAATGCCGTTCTGAATTACTGACAAATTCCAGCTGCTTATTCAAAATAGTACTGTTAAAATAATTTATGACCTTTAAGTCATTTTTGGCCATTTCGTGTTGTTAGTCTGTCAATACTTCTTCTTTATCTAATGCCGTTGCACATGTCCTTACCTTTAAAAACATTCAGATTCTTTACTTCCAATGTGCATAATCTTGGCCAATTATGACGGGTATCAAAATTTCCACTTTTTTAGGACCGCTCATTTACTCTCGTGATTCTTCTAGATTTTTTTTTTCTTCGTAAATATACTTCTTTAACACCAGTATATCTTTGATCACATTTACTAATCTTGAATTGACCCGTGTTTTATCTGTGATCATATAATCTCTTGCATATAATCTCTTTAATTTTAGAACGTAAACGGGACTCATGAACAAGAATGGTACACTTGTACAAGAACTTTTTCTTAATTTTAAGTGTTGAGTTTAAACTTTTATCAGACGTAACCACCGAGCTGCTACTAGGTTTTTGCTTGCTAGACGAGACCTGCGCTAAGGCAGTGGCTAGAGTACTAATCAGTATTGATAACGGACTAATGCTTACCACCACATAAAACTTACTATCTTAATTCTCTCTTAATCGACTTTTGCTGACCATTGTCTACACCCCTTGGCGCTACTATCTAATGGCGGAAAAAAGCAGACAAATGCGCTGGCAACGGGCTTTTCTAGACTGCCACGAGTCACTGCCAAACCACCTATCAGCGGTACCAGCTCCAGCGGTGGCATTGAAATCCAGAAGAAGTTATGTCTCTCCATATTTAGAGGCTCTAACACAGGGTGCTTTTAATGTTGCTTAATATTGTCAGTTGATCTAACCTTACTCAAAGATAACTCTCACCACTCTCATCCTCCTTCCTCATTCTCAGCCACCCATCTCAAAAGGCTGGTTTTAACAATTAGGAGTTTAACGTGGAGCCATCTTTAAAGAACTCTCTGCTTCTGCGGGTAGTTACTCACGAATCTTAAAGTCTATTATCACGATCAATTGACGTTTGCCTAACCAAAGAAACCAACAGCACTCCTTCTAGGTGGGAAGAAGCACCGAGTGGCGCTTGATAAACTTAGCCTACAAAAACTCAACAACAAGCACAACAAACATATGAATCTGAAAATCCAACAAATTTTGAAAGTTAAAAGTATCAGTTACACAGCAGGCTCTTGCACCTTGCAACAAGCCTCTGAAGAAAATGGAAGCAGTTATCAGCCTCTGTAGTAACAATCGGTAATATTGCCACTAAGTCCCTTGGACCTAGCTACTGTTAAAATGCAACTTTTTTACTCAAGAAGTAAAGACTTAATAGATGGTATTGTCATCCATCAAGAAACTTGAAGAGACCTTTATCCACGCAGTTTAACTAACTCAATATACCTTTCGGTCCACAGGCCAAACTACTTCAAACTACACTGCCACCACCCAAGCTCACTTGCACAGAGGAGACTGATCATCAATCTGCTTGAATAGCTGCCTTGACACAACGGCATTAGTACATTGTATCACATCAACGTTTCTCTTCGGAACTTATCCTCCAACTTAACGTCAGATGCCCTAACAGAGAAGACTGATCACCACTCACGCTCTAACACCCACTTTGTCACATCAGCATCAGTTCTTTGCACCACGCCAATGCTCCTCATCGGCACTCACGCTTCGACTGCACGTTGGACGTCACAGTCTCTAAGTTCACCCACACAGTGGAGACTGACTGCCATCCATGCTTGAACAGCCGCTTTGATACACCGGCATCAGTTTAGAACCATGCTGACACTTCTCTTTGGCACTTATGTTCCAATTACAAATCAGATTGTAGGACTGATGTAAGGAAAAGATTAGATCCACCATTACGCAAGCATACAAACAAAATGGATGAGTCAACTAGAACATCCCAAGCCAGCTCAGATTAGTAGCTCCACGTATTGGCAGTCACTTTCAAAGGCTCCAAAACAGTTTTGTACCAGCTTTGCGCAAAAATGGGATAGCCCTTATCTGATCGTGGCTCATGTGGGAGAAGATATGAAGCTTGTCTCCATGGGCTAAACCATCACGAAGCTTCATGTTTCCGAACTCAAACTCGCCCACACCAAGAACAGTGATAGCTGCCAACGCCTCAATACACACTTTGACCTGCCAGCATCAATAACTCGACAGTTCACCACAGAGCATATTTTCTGAGCATATTTACCTTGAGAGATATGTAAATGCAAGAAATTTTTTTCTACCAAGAGAAATTGAACTTTAAAAATCATACAGTGCACAGGAAGTTTGACCATGTACGTAAAATAAGACTCACTTTAGTATAGGAGCCGACCACCTAGAAACATTTTCTTTAACATTATAGAGGACTTACAATATTGCAAGTACCCAGTGATTCTCATCAACTTTCACTTTGTATGATAGAGAGTATCTCACAGTGTTATTGACACCTCTTAGCATCCTAAAGCATATTAAAGGTATCCAAATTATCTTAAGGCTTGTTGAGATCTTATAAAATCTCAGTCAGGTAGAGCCAAGGTGAGTTGAATATAATATGAAGAAACGTGGGTATGGTTACGCAAATAGGAAAGAACGATACCTGTAAGTCAAAAGTACTTAAAAAAATAATATTTGGCGTATATTTAGTGTGTGCGAGTCACGTCAAGAGAGATCTTAAATTACTTGGTACTTTAACATGCCGTTTTAAGGAAAATTCCGTGCCACATGCTAGGAAACAAGGGTTTATATAATAATATTAGGGTCATACTGATGTATGACATTCACAAACCTTATTGACGATAAAGTTAGCTGATGGTATATAAGCATGCTTTAGCCATACCACGCTTAATTAGTACCATGTCAAATGGGTAATATTACGGCATAATTCAGTGCGCTCATCATGTAGTAGAACGATACCAGTTCTTTAAGGCATACTTCAGTCATTGGTATAATTTTTTCATATTCTGTAAGGGTATTGATTGTCATATTTTTTTACTTTTTTTAAAGTTTTTCATACAAATAAATTACCTTCTAGCACGATATTCATAATGAACGCACATTTTTACAAAACTTGTACAAGACTTGCATGAGTGTCTGACGCATCAATTCATGACATCCTTGCTGGATGGATGCTTGCACTAAGTCTGTAAAATTTCATGAGCAACTCTACGCAAGACTAGAATAAATTTTGCACTAGCACCTACAGTTCTCATCTATGATAAGTTTACGAAAATCTGTGGTAGCTGAGGTAGCTGAGACACACGCTAATCTTGCGTTTAAAAATTGCAAAAATTAGTTCTTTAAGAAAAAAATACAAAATATTTTTTACTTTTTGTTGCTCAAAACTGCATTTGCCTTACTTTTTTATACATAAGATCTGCGAGTCATGGGTTACAGTTGAGTTAACTTTTAAGTTATTTTCCTAATGATAAATCAGTGTTCCTTAATGTAAAATAAATCAAAATAAATCAAAATGTAATTTGTCTGAAATAAACTGAGAAACAATGTACAACGATTTTAGATGTCAAATCAAATGTTTACAAATGAGAGTAAGTTAAATTTTCACGAGGTTCTCTGTTATAATAAAGTTTGATTAAAATCTACCATATTATCAACTTACCCGCTTATATGGTTTGCAGAGTTCTTCAGCAATAAGATGATGTATTTTTGCATCCGTTAGATCTTTTTTTGATGGATTATATTCTAGTTCTTGAAAATCAATATTCCATCCCGATTCAATTTGAAAAAAGCTAGAGCTGAAAAATACTTTATTGTAGTACTAGGTGATTAAATAAAATTTAAAACATGTTAAAAATAACAGTTTATGTCATAAAAGATTCTGATACTTTTAAAAAATGAATAATTATCTTATAAGATTTACTGCCACGTTGAATGTAAAAATTAAAAGCCCTTGTAAAATACTAGTAGTGTGCAAGATTATCACGGAAAAAAATATTCCAGATTGACATGGAAATACTTCTCAGCTAGAAAAATTTTACTCGTGACTCACGCACAAAAGATATTTTATTTATTAAGGCTATATTTTTATTCACGCATTTTTCTATACTACGGAGCAAACCAGCAATTTAACATGAGTGAACTTAAAGAAATATGTTACGGAAGAGAATTTTACGTGTAACTTCCCACTTGGCCTAACGTATCACGTCCTACCCTACCTACCCTACCGTAATGCACTGAACTTATAAAATTACTGTCTCAAATTATCTCACGTCACACTACTTACTATGCCAAGAAAGCTAATCTTACTTTAAATGTTAATATTAATTTACCTTTTCTTTGTTAAATTGTTTTAATTATGAATTACGTTTGCTACAAAGTTATTTATTAAATGAAAACTTTTTTTTTAATCCTAACAAGTTTTTTTTTTAATTAGTAGCTATTTTGTAAGTTAAAAATGTTTTTGATATAAGACATGCTATGGCATGTAGTGAGGGATAATATGCTACAAAAAGTTTGGTCCAACCTCCATTGATGTATTGATGTTTACTCCACTACTACGCTCTCGTTCTCTCTCTCCCTCTCTCTCTCTATGTACATATATTATATACGCAGTGAAATTCGGATTTCCATACCCACGTTTATGTGTTTACTATAACTATTGTATCGCGTATGCGTTTACAGCTTCTTGTATGGTATACTAACCGTATATATAGCTATAGAGAGGCATACATGCGCATAATTAAACAACATTTATGACATTTTTAGTATGTATAGCATATATATGAGAATACAAGTGAATCTATGTTATACACACATATATGTATATGTTTCAAGAAGTATCTCAATTTAACTCACTTAGAGAACCAAGCCCTCAACCTTCGTATTGGTCGTCAGGGATCTTATCGATTGTGCTACGCAGTATGCTGATCTGATCTCTGTTCTTATCACTTATAGATAGCCACCATAAAACTTTTGAATTAGAGAAGTGATACATAGTTGGATGTTTTTTATATTATATTTTATTTTATTTGTTCATTTGTTGCAACAGTTTGAGATACAGAAAAATAAAAATTCAAGTTCATAGGGTATAAAAGCTTTTATTTATAAATACTTTTACTTTCGTTCTCACTAGTGCAAAATGTAAAGACAAAAAGTTAAAAGAAGCATTTGAGCAGTACCTATAAGAATAAGTGAGATAGAGAGACCCAGTGATTATCTGCTGTCGAGCTTGCTCTCTCTATTGTATTCATAGAGGTAGGCATTTTCCATTGCTTTTTTTTATATTTACGCTTGTAGAAAATGATGAATCAATTTCAAAAGGACTATTAATTTCTTATTATTTTTCGCAGTTCTTTTCTTTATGAACAGGATTATTTTAAAATATAAACATTTAACCATAATTTTAATTTAACCCAGAGTCTTCCAAAAGTGTTAATGCAAACTCTATATTAAGGGTGCCTATATATGGGCGTCTTAGAGTGTTTATTCCATGAACCATACCCATGGTGAGTGATTGAGTTCAAACTGACGTGTACGAAAATACGCTGTATTTATAATTGAACCATGGAATACAAATAAATAATTACAATGGAACGTTTTGAAGAAAAAGAACAATAAAATGCACAATTAATGTTTATACAATATTTTTGTTAACACAACCTTTTTTTCAAAGACTAAGCGTTAACAAATTTTTTTTAGTTTTAGTAGCTAAATATCTTTTCAAAAGTACAATGCAATTATGTTATATAGTTTTGTTATGAATAGAATGCCTATTACTTTTTTTAAACAAATTATGTGATGAGTATTTAATCAACATCAGTTTTAATTGAATCAGCCACCATAGGTATGGGTTACAGCCTAAAACTATAAGACTCTCAAGTACAGACACCATTTCTAATTTCACTCTAAACTGCCTTAAGTATAAAGCCAACAAAACGAAGGCACGTGCAGAACTACGCACAGATATCAGAAAAGGGACAGAGAGACAGAGAAAATTGACACAGACGTACTGTGGAACATATATATAAACCTATGAGTGGGTAGGTAGTATATACTCTTCACCATGCTTTGTTTTTCTTTTTCGTTTTGGTTGCTAACATGTTAATATATAAAAAAATATAATGATAACTGGATATTTTTTGTTCTTACCTATGATATTTATTAATGAGAATACATATTTTTTCATAAACTGTCTTTTTAAAACAAAAAGTATAGATTAAAAATTATTTTGTGTGAAAAAAGTAAATACTATTTCATCATAGACAATTGAATACCACTAAGTTTAATGACGTATTCTAATATGTTTCACATTTTTTGGGAGTCCCAAGACGCACTCCTGGTTTTTTAAGTTTTTCTTTTTATCATTTGGAATTTTTTTGGAATATATAGCATTTTACTAAATTTGTCTAAAATACGATTAAATGTTTTCATCTTTTTTTTTTTAATGATTTATTTGTGCATAGTCTTAAAGATCAACTATTACGTTTTAATGGTATCTCGTTTTTAAGAAGTTTATTTATTCTTGAAAAAGTTTTTTGTAATATACATCTACTGATAAGTAACAAAATTTTTTTAAAGATACAGTAGCACTACAGGTTGCTAATTTTTTTTAGTACAATTGAAGATTTACATTTCTTACTTGAGTTGATGCATTTATTTATGCATGCATTGTTATTATGTGAGTTACATTTTATACTGACAAAGTGTAGTTCATCTATTCCATAAAATATAAAATAAAATAAAAATTAACTAATAGTACTTATTTTTTAATACTTTCTCATCCGTCTGTTAGATTACTATTTTAGCTGTTGTAAACATGACTAATTGTAAGAATAAATATGTAAGCTTACGTGACGGATACAAGTGCAATGTCAGAAATATTATCAGAGTCGGTAGTTGTTTTAAAGTAATTAGAAGATTGGATGAAAGTGGGTATTCACATACTAGCAAGCCCAGCAGCACGTCGTGCTATGGCTGTTCTCTGTACTTTTTTTGTCAACGTGATATATTCTACATAGTAGTTTATTTTTAAATTATATAAATATTTATTGAAACCATACCCCAATACCGTCCGTCTATTTATTCTAACGATAACCGCATTACTTTTGTACACAATATTGTCAAATAGGGGGTATACTTTATAATTATCTATTATCTGCTCTACAATATCATAGAAGTACAACTTTATACCTTGATACTTAAGATTTCACTGTCCACTGGTACTTTTATAATTTTTATTATAATTATAAATACATAGTATCTAGACAAACAAGTATTTTTGACTTGCACGATATAAGTAAGGGTTCCTAAAAAGCTGTGTAGCCACTTGCAGCAGATCAGTGCATTTTAACTTATGCTGGTTCTCAACTAAACAAAAAAAGATGTACGTAGCTGCATTAGTGAGTATAAAGAGACTCCTGTAGTTTTTGATTTATGGCAGTTTTTATCTAATACGATATAACTACCAGTCTTTTCTTATTAAAACATTATATTGCAATACAAAAGTGGTGAGCAATAATAAGTACATAAAGTAAGACGTAAATTATCAGTATTAATAGTCAAAAAAACTCTTGAGATCTTACTTACTAACATTTACAAATTTTTGGATTCTGCTAGTCTTACTTGAGTCGTTAATAGCTTTTAAGCTTTTAAAAAAAAAGACTAAGCATTACTCAGTAGTGTTAACCGCAGATTCCTTCATTGTGTTAATATTCAATGGAAGCAAAAGACGTGTGACAACCTATAACTAAGAACCTATTTTATCAGTTATATGACGCTTCACGTCATAATTGTTTAACGATTGTAACACTTATCAATACTGATGGTTCAGGGTCAGATTAAATATAGATCGCTTGCCTATTGGAGAAGAGTGTCATCGGTAGCCGGGGTACTTAGCTGCATGACTAACATCTATATTTTTGATTTATTACTGGTACACGAGTGTAGAAATCTCTGAGACGCTCCCTCCTTTTATAACCACACTTATTTAATTCTATAGCAGGTATCTTCAATTTAACGTCCACGACACCTAGCGGCTCCTACTGAACTAACGCGAAAAGCTAGCATATTTTTGCAAAACTTTAAGCTTATTTAATGCTATTATTATTGATTTTTTCAAGATAAAAACTATTCTCAAACCATCTAGGAAGTGTTAATAATCAGTATGCAAAATTTCAGCCAGACCAATTCAGTAGTTTTCACGGTTGGTGATTACAACGGTCTTAACGACGTTGCTTTATATATTAGTAAAATGTTAAGTAGTTTAAGATACCAGCATTATGATTGTAATATAAATTTAAGGAAGTGTGTTAGAACATAAGTTAAATTATACAAGTTATGTAACTAGTTACATATGAAAAATAAAAATAAATGCCGAATTGCGAACGATGCAGGCAGTGGATGTTGTTCTTTAAAATCTTGTATATTAAACGCTTTTACAGCTCAATAAAACGTTGTACAGGCGTAACCATAGTTTTGTTGTACTACATCAGAACAAATAATCAAAAAAATAGACTCATACAATTTTTAATCATATTAGTTGCATGATAAACCCGATTCTTAATATTTGATGTTTTTACAATAAACAAAAACGTTCGACAACAACCTACCGGATAGTCCACACGCAGAAGAGTTGAACAAAGATAAAAAAAAATCAACCGAGTCCTATCTCCTTGACTATCATTACTTACCAATTAGATTTCTTAATTGAGAGCGCAGCTGCAAAAAAAAAAAAAAAAAAAAAAAAAAAAAAAAAAAAAAAAAAAAAAAAAAAAAAAAA